GCCCTTCAGATGACAGGGAGGCCGGGGACTGAGCAGACCAGTGACCATATGCCCTCCCCTGGGTCCTCAGGGCCACCCTGTAGGGGTGAGCCAGAAAGCACTGGGCAGAGCCAGCCTGCCAGCCCTAGGGGAAGCGTCCTCCCCAGGGCAGACACAGGCATGAGCTGAGAACATGGAGAGGGGCACAGAGTCAAGAGGCTACCCTTTCCTGGCATGAGTCTCAGAGCTCAGAGCACTGGCAGAGGGCAAAGCTCTTGGCTTATGGGAAGAAAGGCCCGATGTAAGTGTGAGGGACCCCCAGGTACGCTGAGTGCGTGTGCTTGGAACAGTCACTGTGCACGGAGTCGCCTGCTGGGAAGGGGAAAGCGCCGGCCCTGATTGCATGTCCCCATCTCGGCCCCGTCCTTGTTGCAGCCCTAGACCTCCCCTCCTCCCTGTGGCTGCTGGTCACCTTCTCTGCAGAGCAGCCCCCCAGGGGTGGAGGGTGTGCCAGATGCTCTTGTTCCTCATTACGCAGCAGCTGGGAACTCTGAGCGTCTTGGCCCAGCCGGGCAGCCGGGTCTGGGGGACAAAGCGTGGCCCGGAGCATCAGCTGCACATTCAGTCCTGAGCACACGGCTCCCCTTCACCCACGGGGCCCTCGCTGGGGGCTGTTGAACAGCAAGCATGCCGCTTGCTAACTGCCTGTTGAGGGCGTGTTCCTCTGGTGCCTAAGCCTGCACTTTGACCTTGGCGATCAGTCCCAGAATCCAAGTTCCTTGTTGTCATCCTGATTATTCTGGTCCCAGTATGTTTGACGCCAGCCAACCACCCAGTGGAGGCTGTTCCCAGCCAGAAACTGATCACTGTCTAAAACCTGAAACCTAATTACAAGTGGTGCCCAGATGGCATCAGGGGGTGGGGGGTTTGGTCTTAGTGACTTGGGGAACACCTGCCAGATACCTCGTGCAGAGTCCTTTGTTGGGCCCTGTGGGAGGCAGAGGAGAGGGGTGCTAAGGGGGCTCACACACCCCTTCGTATGAAAGCCCCACACTCCCTGTTCCCCACCTGCTGTCACCCCCCATCTCGAAGTGCACCCACTGATGATCTGTGAGTGGAGTGTGCGGGTTCCCCTGCTGGCTGGGTTTGTAATATCCCACTGTCCTCGTCTGCTTGGGCGGCCCTAACAAAATACCACAGACCGGCTGGCGTCAGCAGCAGACGTTTGTTTCCCACAGTTCTGGAGCCTGGAAGTCCATAGTCAGGGCGCCAGCAGGGTCGGTTGCTGGTGAGAGCCTGCTTCCTGGCTTGCAGACGGCTGCCTTCATGCTCTGTCCTCCCACAGTGGAGAGAAAGAGAGAGCTCTCTGGTGTCTCTTGTTTTGAGGACACTAATCCTATCAGATCAGGGCCTCCCCCATAGGACCTCATTGCATCTTAATTACCTCTTAAGGGTCCCATCTCTAAATGTAGTCACATTGGGCGTTAGGGCTTGAACACGTGAGTTAGGGTGGGGGGCATAGTTCAGTGCACAGCATGCATCTCAAATGTATATTGTACGAGAAGAAGAGGGCACACAGAACTAATGGGCTCTGGGGTGGACCACCGTGTGTGTGCTGCCTCCTGGGCCCAGGTGTGGCTGTGCCCTTTGTGTGCTGATGGGCAGAGGTAAGTCTGGGGTGACTGTAGCCCAAACTACTCGATCAAAACACAGCTGCAGTAACACCTCTCCTGCCCCAGAGGCCTGACTTCCTGGAGTCACAGGGCACCTGGGCCGTTTTTGAGAGATCACTGTATTAATTAATTTTATTGCAAGTGATTTATTCAGTGTTTAATAGGTTGTAGATGGAAAAGTTGGGAATAGTGAGGTCATTCGGCCCCAAGAGAAAATGCCCCCAGTCTAACACTCTCATGGGGGTTGGGAGCATTGCCTGGGGGAACTTGCAGAGGTCCAGGGCCCAGCCTCTTAATGTCTCAGAGTTGATTTGCCTTTTGAAACTTAATGGTGATTAGAAGGCTCACGTGCTCTGCTGCTGTGCACAGAATGTGTCCTCCCAAACTCTGGTGTTTGAGGCCCTAACCCCCAGTGCGAGGGTATTAGGAGGTGGGACCTCTGGGAGCTGATCCAATTTAGGTGAGGCCATGAGGGTGGGGCCTTCGCGATAGGATTAGTGCCTTTTTAGGAAGAGGTCTGAAACTGCTTTCCCTTTCTCTCCACCCTGTGAGGACCCAGTGAGAGGGCAGCATCTGCAAATCAGGAAGCAGCTCCTCACTGGAACCCAATCGTGCCGGCCCCCTGAGCTGGATGTCCGCCTCCACAGCTGTGAGAAAGGAACGCTGTTGAAGCCACCCAGTGCATGGTGTCTTATCATAGCAGCCTGAGCTGACAAGATGCCTACCTAGAATACTGCCTTCTCAGTAGCAAATCCCTAGGAAGACAAGTTTCATTAGCAGGAGAATGAGCCATGGTTAAGGGTGCAGGCCCCACACAGGGCTGTCCTGGGGCCCCTGCGTCCTTTACCATTCACCAGCCCAGTGAACACGGGCAGGTCATTTGACCTCTCCAACCCCCATTTTCTCTTCTCCAAGAGGAGATAATGCAGATTAACACATTCATCTCACAGAGCTGTTGTGGAGATTAAGTGAGGTCACGCCCACTAAGCACTTACACTGACGGTGTCACCAAGTAAACACGCACCTACCACGTAAAGCCTACATGCCATGAATCCATTACCTCTTTCCCATGCTTTGCGTGGGATGGCTGTGCCAACTGCTGAAATTTCAGCTGTCTCTTTTTCTATGCTCTAGGGCTAGTCTAATGGTTTCTGTTGTATTTTTAACAGTGAAGCATTTTTTTCCTACATTCCCAATACCCAAAACTGATGGGTATGGAGTTTTGCTCGCATGGGGCTAGAGACTCCTGTGCAGCCTGCCCTCTGCTTCTTGAAGGAACCCAGCAGCCCTCCAAGGAACCCCATTTGAGAATCACTCCTGTAGGTTGCCACACTGCCTTTCTACCCTGAAGTCTTCTTCCTGAGGACATAACAGTTTTTCGGTTTCTGCTTCCTGAGTGACATTCTCCTTCTGGTCTTGCTTCCCTCAGGTCACCTGGGTAGGTGTTTTAGGTGTCCCCAGGTTCTTCATCATGCGTTTATAGTTCTGTGGCCACTCCTGCAGGTGGCTAATCACGTCAGGTATGTGCTGGCTTTGCCACTTACCTCACAGAAGCCCAATTTGTTGCCTAGGTGTTGGGATGCACCTCTGTTGCCCAGGGGATGGCCCACCTGTGTCAATGAAATCTAATTTTTATTGTTCAGTAATGCTATGTACATAAATAAATCCACAATTTAGAAAAAAATGCTTTGAAATATTCAGTGTCCTGGTTTTTGGTTTGGAAAATGGGTCACAGTAGGAAGGGGAGCAATATACAGAAAACACACCGAGGACCTGAGTGTCTTCTGTCCACACCAGCCACAGAGATTTCAGGGCCATGTGTCAGTAAAATCTGTTTGCCTTGATTCCCCACGTTGCTTTTCTGAGCCTCAACATCTGAAAGATAAGCTTGATATTTCTGGCTTTTCTTAATTTTTTTCCCTATAACAGCTTTATTGAGATATAATTCACATACCACACACTTCGCCCATTTAAAGTATACAATTCAGTGGTTTTTAGTATAGTCACAGAGCTGAGCAGCCATCACCCCATCGATTTTAGAATATTTTCATTACCCCCAAAAGAACATGATACGTTTTAGCAGCCCTTCTCTCTTTCTAACCAACTTTCTCACTAAGCAACCACTAACCTTCTTTCTGTCTAAGAGGCTCCACCTATTCTGGACGTTTCTTTTAGATGGAAATCATCCAATACGTGGTCTCTTGTGTCTGGCTTATCAGTGTGCTGTCCTCCAAGTTCATCTGTGTTGTGGCATGTGTCAGAATTTCATTCCTTTTTATTGTTGAATAATATTCCACTGGATGAACATTTTACATTTTGTTTTTCCATTCATCAGTTGATGGGCCTTTGGGTATTTCCACTTTCTGGCTATTATGCATAATGCTGCTGTGAATAGTTTTTGTGGAGAGATTTTCAATTTTATATCTCCCTCTACCAGAGAACAAATGATATCAATAGCTAGATAAATTGAGTGCCCACCATACGCCAGTACTGTGCTGAGCCCTTCACACATACTATTCATGTAATCTGCAAATAGCCCAGGGGGGGTAGGCTCACTCCCATTTAACAAGTGAGGAAGCTGAGGCCCCGTAGCTTTATGGGGTGGAGCTGAGACTTGAACCCAGGTCAGCAGGTAGCATAACACTTATCCTTAATAGTGCTTCCAGCGGTTGGGCAGCTGTGGATAACGACACCACTCCAACCGTTCCCACTGGTTAAGTCACAGCAATTCCATTCCCACGGTGTGCCACTTACATACACTAAGTTATGAATCCCCACACCTACCCCCTGAGGTTACCTTACTATTCCTTATGCCCAGTGAGAAAAAAAAGTTCAGAGAGACTACGTAGCTCATCAGTGTCAGAGCCTGGAAGGCCCGCATTCAGCCAAGACCTGTGGCCACTCCTGATGCCCGCAGCTCTTCCTCTTAAACCGGCCAGATCTCACCTCCGGGAGAGTTTCTGTGTGCCCTGAATACCATTTTCAAAGGAGAGCCATTCGTGCCCTTCCTTGGCACACACAATGCCTACGGTGCATATAGATGTACTTCTAAGGGTGTCAACTCGCTTGGGCCTGGGGACCTCATGCAGGTAGGCCCCCAGAGGCCCGCCCTGGCACTACAGTGCTCCGGAACTGGATATCCGCATAGAAATTCACTGCTGCACCTGCCTACAGACCAAGCCCCTCAGCACGGAGAGGCCGCTTTGGAGACGGTGCTGAGGATGGCCGGGTGGAGGCGGATGCGGGGGGCTGCCTGGAAGAGGAAAGTGGCCGTCGGGGCAGACTGGAGAAGGAGGAGGGGTAACGGTAGAGGGTACCAACTGTGTCCCTGTGGTTGCCTGCCCACAGCTGCGATCTTGGATGACCCCATGGAGTGCAGCAGAGGGGAGCGGCTCTCCATCACTCTGGCCAAGAACCGCATCAACCGTGCTCCCGAGAGGCTGGGCAAGGCCAAAGTCGAAGTGGACATCTTTGAGCTTCTCAGAGACAGCGAGTACGAGACTGCAGAAACCAGTACGTAGAATGGGCAGGCCTGCCCTCTGCTTCCCTGTGGGCAGAGGAGGGGCTGGTGGTGTGAGCTGCACCCATTGCCAGGCTGTGCTGTAGATATTCCCAAGAGACGGAGAGAAACATGCCCAGGAGGCCGTATAGGGCCGTGTCTGGATGAGATTCCCAGGTTTTGTTGCAGATCATGTGTGGAGTAGAATTAAGACAGGATACTCATTCACTCATTCATTTACCCATTCATTCATTCCTTCATATGCAGATTCATTCATCTGGACATTTGTGCACAAATCTCTGAGTGAAACCTTAAGTGAGTTAAGAAAGAGAGATACCCGGCTAGCCCCAAGGGAGCTTAGTCATTGCACATCCGATGGCCTGTCTTGTTTTCTGGTGCCGAGGGCAGCATTGCGGTTAGAAATGGGGACTTGGGATGGAGTTCAGCCCCTAGCTCTGTGAGTAACCTTGGACAAGTTGCTTACCCCATTCAACCTCAGTTTCTTCATCTATAAAATGGGAATGCCAGGCTCTACTTTGCCAGTCTTGCAGGTTGATGAGAGATTTAAATGACTTAGAATATAGGAAAATCCTCCATGAGTTGCAATGCTTTACAGACATACACAGTAGGTCACTCAAGTCCTATATATGTGTAGCCCTACTGTGCACGGGACACTGCTTTTAATTCTCTTAAGAACCTGACAGTCAAGTGTTATTATCTCCATTTTATAAAAGAAATCGAGTCTCAAAGACATTGAATACCTTGCCAACCACAGAGCTAGCAAAGAACTGAGCAAGCTGTGGACCCTGAACTCATGTCATCACCCTGCAAGTTCAGAGCTCCATCCACTACACCTTCTGTCCCGGAATTCTCTGGTGTGTTACTGGCATTACCTTGAACTTTATTAGGATGAGCTTCCAAGTTTGAGGGCCAGTGGCTTGTGCTAAGGTGGAAATGAACAATCCGGTATAGAGGGACGGAGAGGAGCCCCTCGGCTGATAAGATCTCTTCTGTAAGACTTTGGAGTGCCCACGTCCTTCCTTTCTTGTCCATTTCAGCCTTTAATAACACTCAAAGGCAAAAACAAATGAAACAAAATAAAGTTACAGCTTGCTCAAGTATCTATGTCAGACATCTGGTCTAATACGTGTGGGTCTGGCGATACTCTAATCTGGGCTATTGGTACCGCAAGAGAAGAAACACACTGACCTAAGGACTATAGGGGGGATGGATACTGTAAGGGCCCAGAGCGGGCAGGAAGGGAGGGAGGCAGTGGCTCGCCCCTTCCCTCACCGCTTCTTGAATGCTTTTAAGTGTCTTTCAGATGTAGACTCTTTCCTCTCTGCTAGTTTGGTTTCCCCGGCTCACTTATGCACCTGATGCAGAAGGGTGCCCGGGCCCAATTTATGCTCTGTTCATTCACTCAGGGAGCTTACAATGAGCATTTACTCTATTTCAGCATGATTCTGTTTCTCATGCTTTGGGAATAATGCAGACACAACAAGATGGACACGTCTCTGTCATTAGTTGGCTTGCTGTCCCTCTGCAGTGTGCACGTCATTGGCAGCTTCCCTAGTGCCTCTGGGTTTGGATTCCCAGGTAGATGATCTGATTGGTCCAGCTCATCTTGCTGTGGCTGGCTCCCAAGTCACAGGTGTTGGTCAGAGGGCCTAATAACCACCCTTGGGGAGAGCGGCGACTCCTAGAGACAGAGGGTAGGTTCCTACCATTCAGAGCAGAGCTGTGGAAGCCACTAGGATCTGTGCACACAGATCCCTCCAGAAGGGGGCATAGGGGATCAGGAACCTGAAATAGTCATTCATTTATTCATTGGGTCAGTCAATAAATACTTAGTGAGTGCTTATTATACTCTATCCTCGGCAATGAGAATTCAGCAGGGAACAGATAGAAATCCTAGTTGTCAAAGAGGTTGAAGTCTAGTACAATGACATTCAGATGTCTCAGGATCTTCCAAATGAAATCAGAAATACCAGCAATGACTTCTGAATCTCCCCGTCCAGTCTGCAGTTGTTCCTTTGTCCAGGAGGACAAGTCTTGAACGGGGTCCAGATTTCTAAGTGGTTCTGTAGTCCATTCTTTGGAAAACCACGTCCTCCTTCCTTCTCTCTGGTTCTTTAGGGCTTCCCTGGCAGAATGGAGAGCACAGATTGCCCATTATAGATGGGGGTCTTTAACAGATGTAAATTTCCTCTCCCAATGACCCATGCAGCCTGGCTTAGTAAAGTCAATACAGTTGAAACAATAAGCTAGATGAATCAGGGGGATAAAGGAAAATGATATTTTTATTCCACATTACAGAGCTTTGAGGCATCTTTTGCATGCGCTTCTTTGAGGTGCCAAGTATTTTATTATCTATTGCCCCTTGGTTCAGCTTTTACATCTCAGTGTGTCTGAGGCATGATTATCATTTGTTAGAAAAGAGGATTCTGGATCTGTCTACCCTAAAGGCCCTTCATCTGAGGTCAGAGCTGCTTCCCGACAATGCCTTTTAAATACCACCCAGATACTTTAGAAGAAGGTTCCAACCCAACTCTTTCCCTCCCAAGGTAAGTGGGAGAGGGGATGGTGGGTTCGTGCTTTTAGCTCTAGCAGGGTGGGGCAGAGACTGGCCTTCAGCTGGGGGCAGGAGATAGGGAGACAAGATCCCAGACGGAGGAGAGAGAAACTCTGAGATCCCCCCTTTGGAGAGGTTGTGTGTTATAAAGAGCAGCAACGTGGATTTTAGAATCAGACTGACTAGGTGTACATCCTGGCTCTACTCTTTACCAGCTGTGGGGCTGAAGAGGATGTTTAACCACCTGGGGCTTCAGTTTCCTCACTGGTGGAGTGAGGGTGCTGGCATCCCCCCAGGGTCATCTGGAGGAGAGCACGAGACAGTGAGGGCAAGGCGTCTGCACCGTGCACCAGACTGGTACCCAGTGAACCGCGGCTTCGGTTTTGCCATTGGCCTGGCTCTCTCGCCCTCTCCTTGGAGCAGGCTTCCTCCCACGTCTTCCCATCGTCTCCCTCCCTCCTCAGTCCAGCACCTACCTAGTGGCATTGTCTCTCTCTCGGTTCCTCCCCAGCAGCCTGGGTGCAGGGTCACGTGCATCAAGGGTGTCACCATGACTGGACATTCTGCCTCTCTCTCATTTCCTGGGCTTGATGCATCAGACAGGTTTGAGCCTTTGGAAGCTGTGGCAGGCCACCCAGAACCAGCTGCTACCCAGTGTCATAGCTGTGTTTTGCCCAGTTTGCGTGGCCAGCCTGAAACCATTTGAGGCTCTGGGTGGCGAACAAGGCCCCCAGCCTCACACCTATCGCCTGGGGTTGGGGTCTCTGCTCCGCAGGCGTGACAGAGATCCTAGCGATGACACCCAGAGGCTCTGATAAGTTGGGGTGGTAGCAATCTGACAGTGAATGGTACATGGTACGCACTTTCAGGGATACGTGAGTGTCAAAAAGCTCTGCAGAAATCGCACTTGATGAATCGTATGTGAGTGCAAGAATCAGTCAAGGGGGGAGCAATCGGAACCTCGGTTTGTGACATGCAAAGAAACCGAAGATGCTGGAGTCTGGAGTTCCGCTCCTCATGCGGCGGTTGGAAACGAGTCTGGGAGGCAGGTGGAAAGTGTCCCATGGGTCATTAATCAGCAATAAACCTGGACCCCAGAAAGCTAGCTACAAGTAGAAAGTCCCCTCTTCCATCCGGTTCACATGGATTTTCATGGAGTGGGTTTACTTAAAGTGAGGGGCACTGGTGAGGCTTCCTCAAGCCCACGCCTGCTTCCCTCCCCCCTCTGCCCTTCCACCATCACTGCCTCAGGCTTCTGCATATTTGACTTCCCACAGGTCTGAAATAGGAGGGACTGACAGGCCCTGCGAGGTCGGTCGTGTCCTCTCCACCCCACCCCTCCCTCCTCCCTTTGGTATCTCACCTCCATCTCAGCCTGCTTGTAGGAGCTCCCACAGCCCTTGCCCTGCCCTGTCCCTGTAGATCAGGTTCTCCTGCACTAATGTATTAGAGCTTAACTCAGTGCCCAGACCCTTATCACCCAAACACCCAGAGGCACGACCCCATTCTTGCTGCCGCCAGAGCCAGTTGGAGGTTTAATTTACTGCTGCGGAGTTAGAACTGGAGACTCCCTGTCAGGCCCTCCCCTCTGCCTGCTGTGTCTCTGCGAGGCCGATGTGCAATCAGCTGCCCACACTGTTTCCAGTGGAGGCCCAGGGGCACGCTGGTTGGTTATCTGGCCCCACGCAGCCCCAGCGCGCCTGAAGATGGGCCCAGCCTGGGCTGTCTGGGGCATGGTCGCTCCGCCCGCACCAGCTCCTGAGCTTCTGGCGGGTTCGGTGCCCCTGAGCTGGTGATTCGGAGCTGTCTCTAGTTAGTGAGGCTTAACATCCCTCCATCATCTGTTCAGTGGAAGGCCTCCAGCCGGCATAACGGGGGACAGTGAGGAGCCGGAAGAGAACCATGTGTGAATCACTGTGATGAGTCAGTCAGTAAACATTTTCTGAGCTTTGAGCTACTCACATCATATATGCATAATACGGACTCAGAACACATTGAATCACAGGGCTTAGACATCATCTGGCCCAACCCCCTCCTTTCATAGATGGGGAAACTGAGGCTCACAGTCTTTTCCAGGAAACAGTTAAAACCCACACATCTGGAATGTGACCGAAAGCTCAGTAGCTCTGCTGTGTGGCCCAGACAAGGGCAGAGGGGGGCAGAAATAAGTCACAGGAATAGTCAGGTAAAACCTCTGGGCCAGACCTTGGAGTGTTTGATAGGTGCAGAGGACGGAAGCAGGCATCCACGCAGAGGCGTAGTAGTGGATGCAAACGCTCAGGGCAGGAAGGAACGGAGTCCTAGGGGCACAGTGACGGATGAGTGTGGGTAAAATGATGTTTCTGCAGGCGCAGCGGTGAGGACCAGGGTTGGAGCGAGTAGCCATGTAATATAGCAGCCTGAGCTTGGGTTCTGAAGTCAGGCACACCAGGATCCTAA